GAATTGGTTAGTGATTTATTCAGTAAGGAATCCATCCCTCTTGAAACCGCCCCGCTGTGTGCGATAATATTAACTGTACGTATTCCTGTGGCAGATCAAACTACATTTAAGTGTTTAACAAAAAAGTTATAGAATTTTTACCCAGCTCAGAAAATACAACGACATAAAAAAACAGTACAATTATCACAGGTCAATGAACAAGTGAATCAAGTAATGCATGTGTACAAAAAAGACGGTAAACATCGGAGAGCATAAGTAATGAGCATTTTAATAGCTTTTACTGGTAGGTTAAGATTCATGGCGGCAGCAAGAGACACTGATCAAAGGCAAGAGACCAGGCGAAGGAATAGTAAGGGAAGACTGCGTTCATACTTCGCGGCAGCGTCCACCAGCGTCTAGCAGCGTCCACCACAAGCGTTCCGAGCGTCGTGCGGCAGCGTCAGCGACTGAGAAAGTATAGATATAGATCTAGCGTCTGCCAGTTTCTACCAGAGAGTATAGAGTATGGGGAAGAAGTAGGAAAGTAGCGAACAGCTGGACTGGGCGCCGTGAAATAGCGGCGTGTGCAACCGTACAGTCACATTACATCGTACATTGATCCATAATTCTGTGCTTTAGCAGTTGTGCGGTGCGGTTGCACACGCCGCAATTTCACGACGCCTAATCCAGCTGTTTGCTACCCTCCTACTTCCCCATACTCTCTACTCCCGGTCGCTGGTGAACGCTGGTAGACGCTGGCAGACGCTAGTCACCACCTATACTTCCCTAGCCCTTGAGATACTGGCAGATGCTGGTGGACGCTGGCAGACGCTGGTAGACGCTTATGGACGCTTGCAAACGCTAGGTCGATAGATATACTTCCCTGGCCCTCGAGACGCTGGTATACGCTCGTGGACGCTCAGAGTATGAATGCAGCCTGAGGGAGACGACAGACCAACACTAGGCAACGCGGAGTGGGGCAGGTCTAATGAACTCAAGTCACAAGCCTACAGTGTGTTTGGTGCCCACTTTCGAGGGGAGCAAACGGCTCTACATGTGCAGGTAGCGCCCAGTTACGCTACGCGCGATGCATCACTTCGACAATCGCGAAATGTGCCTCCAATCGATTCAAAGTTACGAGAATACTTAGGAATGGAAAACACAGATGTTAACTGGTGAAACTGGTTAACTGAATTAATAAAAAATGCGAATAAATAGGGGAAGCTACAATTGATTCCAATTGTAATGCTCGTTGCGTTCCTACAAATACTTCCCAACAAGTGTCAACCACAGGACGTTGAATGGATTCCTATTCATGACGATAGTGGTCGAGGGTCCGATATACAATATGGAGCCATCACTGCCACCTCAATCTCACAAGCGAATTCCAAACCACCAAAGTGGTCATCTTCGCTGAGGACTTGTGCCCAAGGCGCCTGGGGAGTGGAAGTAGCTCCACTCTGACAACATGAGCTATTGACATTCGTCTTCGAGAGTAAACTACCTCGAGGGAGTACAAGTTATGGAAAAATTAATATACTAAACTTGCAAGCAGTTGATATCTTCGCAATCAGTCGACGTGGTGTCAGGGCCGGGCTTCATGGAGATGAGTCCACAGCGATTTCCCCAACTCACTGTTTTCCATCCTGAACTATGACCGATGATTAATATTGGTAAAAAAGCTTGACAGGGGTCGAGTCTCCTCCTTCCCTGACACGCCTCCACTGAGTTGTGACCGATTGCACTAATATGCGCAGTGTCACTGCAACTATGGTAAACTTTGACCTGCTCGTAATTCGCTCAGCATTATACAAGGGAGCCATTATCAGTTCAACTTAGAGTCAGCTTTTAATAACCTAACAGAAAAGCCATAGTCCACGGGAGAAGTACAGTTCTCCCATCATTGCGGACCGGTGGAGGCTGTCACGAAGACTGCGCACGACTGTTGAAGCCGCTCTCTAGCCTTTTTGTTGCAGTCGCCTGTATGCGCCAAAAAGTGTTAGAAACGAGTAAATACGGAAGGACAATAATACTAGTAATCCATGACTTGCCCGCTAATAAACGGGTGCAGAACGACTTTGCCATCCGCGCCCAAACGCAGGCCGCATGCCGCCCACCGGTCCGCAACGGATGAGGACTGTAAGGAATGATTCTTGTTGGGAGTTACTGTGCAACGAAATGCACCACATTGTTGCGGAGAAAAATATCTCGCCTGAGCCTGCTAGGCAAGAAATGAAGAAATCGCTTTGATACAATAGAGAGAAGACTGCACTCTATTTAGATGTCTCGGATTCAGCTCGCTCACGAATAGTATACAAAGGATGCTCAAGCTCGTCGGTTAGTCGACGCTTCATCGTGAGCCCTTCATCAGCGGATGAATCTGAAATCAATAATAAGAAGCGTAAAGCACCAGAACGAATGATAATGAATAATATTAAATATACAATGCACGACAACCTGGTAATTGCTCAAAAATACTAGCAGGGGTGTTATATTCTGAGAAAATTACGAAAGAGCGAAGTTAAACGGCCTAAAACCTGCGAGAAAAAAAACCTGGACCTGCACGGCATCAGGCGAGCATTTTTGAACGAGATTCCCGTCGGCATCGTGCCAACAACATGGTAGCTATGGCTACACGCATGCATCCATATAGCAAGCTTCCTAGCAATTTTCATTCATAAATGTAGCGGTTTGAAGCATCCAGTGTCTTACTTTGCGGCAACTGTGGCGGGGGTTGCGATGTGGCGCGTCTGTTTTGCATGGTTTCAACTTGGTTGACTTAAATGGTACGCCGGTTGGCAGAAAGCCTCACGCAGCGCCTGCTAAAGAGCGCACGAAATTCCTCGTGCAAGACGCATCGATCCTTACGCCTTGCTTACTTAGCGCGCTTGTCCTTCAAACCTTTAGCTGTCTATCCCTCCATAGGATATCCATCGCGAAATCTTTCTGGTAACTAGATTGTAGATATGCTACCGAATTTATTCAGTCTCGGGTCAACTGTTCAGTGGTTGAGAAAGGTTATGCCTCCAAGGATTTACTGAGGAGACTCTTCAAGGTATTGCCTTAAAAGCTTGCTACTTGTTACCTGACTCTACTAGACCAGTTTCTACGGCATGCACACCAAGTGATCCCATCGAAGCCATAATCAACCCCTGATGAGTGGATTTTTTCTGTGGACGTTTGCCGAATAAGGAACGTTTCGATTTGCTGAAAAAAAGTGGTATTTCAAAAGTATTTCTCAATATAACAACCAACTGACAAGTTAGCATCCTGCATTCCTTGAACTCGATACTGTAGCATTTTCATGTGATTAACCTCAGAGAAACGACGTTGTTCCTTTTCTTCTTCGCCCACGAGATTTCGATTAGCAAAGTACTGAAATGGTAACCGCTAAGGATTAACGCTCCATATTCCCGCACATGGGGAGGGCGTTGCTGTGCACTTCGTTTGAAACAGGGCATCTTTTCTTGGAAACTTTTCATTTCAGGCTGCCGCCTTCATTTTTTGTGCTGGACAAGCTCCAACTGCTTCGAAATGACATATTCCCCAAAAGCGCAGCCGCAAAGACATCAAGACGAAGTACACAGCCATTCCCCTTTACCTCATAGATATGGAGTATACAATCACAGTGAAATTATCGATTCGATATGGCAGGACAGGAATTTGAATGCAGTCGTGAACATTTCTTCGATGTGGCGCGAGAGACACCGGGCCGGCTGCATTCATAATTTGCGGCAGCGTCTGCCAGCGTCCACCAGCGTCCACCAGCGTACCAGCGACCGGGAGTAGAGAGTATGGGGAAGTAGGAGGGTAGCAAACAGCTGGATTAGGCGTCGTGAAATTGCGGCGTGTGCAACCGCACCGTACAACTACACTACACCGTACATTAAATTGCATAATTCTGTGCTTTAGCAGTTGTGCGGTGCGGTTGCACACGCCGCAATTTCACGACGCCTAATCCAGCTGTTTGCTACCCTCCTACTTCCCCATACTCTCTACTCCCGGTCGCTGGTGAACGCTGGTGGACGCTGGTAGACGCTGCAGACGCTAGATCGATATCTATACTTTCCTAGTCGCTGACGCTGCCGGACGCTCGGAACGCTAGTGGTCGCTTATGGACGCTGGTAGACGATGGTGGACGTTCCCACGAAGTATGAAGCCTCAGGCTGCACGCGTCATAGGGGCTATATGAGCCTTCAGGCACACCACAGATGTGTACTTACATACATCGTGAACCTCAGGCGGCTTTGTCACGTAATTTCAATAATTTCTTAAATGTTAGACTCTCAACAGGTAGACGCGAAATCGCGCAGTTCTCTTACGATAGGATGCCACCACTCTCATAATCACGAACTGCGTCTCAAAAGAATCATTAAAAAAACAGCGCAGATGGCAACAAACCTCTTCAAAAGGGTTATGCAGTAGCTGACGAATACTTGTAATGTTTCTGGTGAGCTCCATTGTCTCCTTTTCAATGTCCTCCTTCTTCTTGTTGATGAAAAACTCTTCTTCTTCAAGAACATCCCGAGGAATCTCACCGCTGAAACATACCACTTGGTGATTTGATCTGATGGTATCTTGTAGAAGATTGCCTTTGTTAGCTAAAAGCCAGTAGCAGGTAAAGATTCTATAGATAGAGACATCGAGGTGGATTGGGGTTTTCGGAAACCAGAACAATGACTGGCATTGAATGCAGCGTTTAGGCAGCGTTCAGACTCCGCGATTGCAGCGCTTCGGTCGCGCTATTTAAAGACACATAGTACTCACACACATTGAGGGTGTATGTGACTAGCAGCCCCCCAGCTGTCGATAGCGCGGTTTCCCCGTTCAAACATGCGCAGGAATGGAGATACAGGACCGTGAAACACGCTAGTTCGTCCATGCTCCGCCCAATGCCTTTTTGCGGCGCAGATTCCCGTCCTTCATAACATCCGCGCGCGTGTCGCGTGCGGCTCCTTGGCACTTTGCCAAGTCCTTTAATTGCGCTTTCAAATACAAGTAAAACGCAATTTCCTGATGCGGATAACATTGGAGGTGCTGCAAAATAAGAACAGAAGATGATGACGAGGGTCAGAACTTAAAAGCAACTGT